AAATAGGGATGTCGATAGGCATACCATCGATGGAGCATCCATCAACACTAATGACGACGTGTTGAGGCTCAGTACCATCACTACGTTGACGGTACTAGACTCCCTAGGCAAACTCGGGTCTCCCAGCTCAGGGTCGCTGAACACAACAGTGGTTCCCAAAAACCCTGCAGGTGATTCGACCCACGTTAAGAGAGCCCAAAAGAACCAGGCATCACCGCCTATGCCGAGCAACCCAAGTGTTGCTGCACGGAAAATAACTGGTGATTTAGTCGCACAGTCTACTCCCAAGACTGTTCGTCCGGTCAATAAAGAGCCCATGATTCATAAACGCACACTGACCTCCAAACAACAAGTTATTAAACCTGAACCCATCGTGAAACCTGGTAAATTAACAACAGTTCGAGACGATTCTCTCATTATCATGAACCTCGTTGACAATCCTGACCTTCCTCTCAGTCTGCAGGACAAAAACGACAGGATGCTGTGGGGTGAATTGAACAAGAAGCTCGAACTTCCCAGAATAGAGCCTTTGACGGTCACCCGGCTCACTCGAGGAAAGGATTCTAAGCATCTAAATCACCCGAGGCTTCTCCGAGTAACACTTAAGAATGCTACCGACGTAGAGGACGTCTTGCTAGCAAGTCACTTACTGAAATCAGATGGTAACGTAAGAATATTGCCCGACATACCGTACTCTGAGCGCAATATCATACGAAACGTCCCTAAAGAATCTCGCGAGAAGTTTTTCCGCGGAAGAAACATAATTGTCCAAGGTATGCCGGAAAATGCAGACCCTACTCAATCAAATTCTGACATTAGGGAATGGAAATTCATCAAACAGTCCTTGAGGCTCAAACACATACTGCTTATATATGAACGCCGCGAGTCTACCAAACAAACTGGATGAACTACGTGAACTTAGCAACGCTAACAAGGCCCATCTGATAGGAATATCTGAAACCTGGATATCTTCTCAGTTCTCGGACCAAGAGTTAGCATTACCTGGGATGACTTTGTTCCGCAACGACAGAAAAACAGGAATTGGGGGCGGAGTAGCCATATACATAAGCTCTTGCTTGGAGGTGCACCAGGTTCACAACCTGGAGTTTAACAATCTTGAGGAATCCATATGGTGCTCTGTAAGATTGTCTAGTACTTCCAGGTGTCTAGTCGGAGTCATTTACAGGAAGCCAACTGCCGACACCGAGTACGATAGTCGTATGCTGGAAGGACTATCCCGCTCTATCCGTCTCGGTTTCACACACATCCTGATTCTAGGGGACTTTAATCTCCCTAGAGTCAACTTCGCGGAACACACGTACACTGGAGGCGAAAACTCAACTGAAGCTCGGTTCTTCAACCTCATCGATAACTTGGGCTTATATGAAAATGTGAGGTCGGCAACTCGTTGGAGAAACAGTCAGACACCATCGCGCTTAGACTGTGTATTCACTAACGAAGAATTCCTAGTCGACAACCTCTCAATCCAGGCTCCTCTGGGAAAGAGCGATCATGCCGTCATAGCTTTCAGTTTTGTCATCAAAACTAAGCTAAGGTATCCCAACAATACTTTGCGTTGGAATTTTAAACGGCTGAATGTGCCAGCTCTACATGACTATCTACAACAGGTGGTTTGGGATGTTCACCCTCAACTCGATGTGGATGGTCACTGGGACTTCTTACTGCACACGTTCTTATGTGCTACAGACCATTCAGTTCCTCAAACGGTTCCCAGAAGCTGCAAGCCACCTACAGTAATCAAGAACCGTACCCTTCGCCTGCTAAGCCGAAAAAGGCACTGTTGGGCAGAATACAAACGAACTAATAACGATGGAGCGTATAGGCAATATAAACATATCAGGAACATATGCACGAAGGCTATAAGAGAAGACAGGCTTCAGTACCAAACAAAGCTTATGGACAAATTCGCCTCTAACCCTAGAAGCCTATCCCGTTATGCAGCCTCTCTTCGTCAAGCCAAAACAGGAGTTTCTCAACTGCTAGGTCTTAACGGCCCGACCAACAATGATGGCGACGCCGCTAACCTTCTGGCGGCACATTAATCTCAAACATTTCAACCGGCTGACATCAACTTTATTGACGACAGTTTCATCTGCAATTCCACAGGACTTTCTGAAGTGGACCTAAGCGCTGACTTGGTGTTCCGGAAATTGCAGCACTTAAGACTTGACACTTCTCCTGGCCCGGATATGGTTCATCCTGCCATACTGAGGGAGGCAGCCTCAATCCTGGCAACGCCGCTTAGCGTGATGTTTTCACACTCGCTTAGCCGAGGCAAATTACCCGAAAATTGGAAGTTGGCTCACATCACACCAATTTTCAAAGGTGGTCGACGCAACGAACCTTCAAGTTATCGGCCGGTGGCTCTTCTGTCATTACCTTCAAAACTCATGGAGTCCCTGATATGCGACGGTTTAAATGATTATCTACTGTCCTTAAATTTCTTCTCACCCCAACAGCATGGTTTCAGGAAGGGTTACTCTTGTATAACCAACCTGCTGACTACGGTGGACAGATGGACAAGCATCCTCGATCGCAAGGGAAAGGTTGATGTCATTTACCTTGATTTCTCAAAAGCTTTTGATAAGGTTAACCACTTGTGTCTTATCAATAAGCTCAAACGACTAGGTATCAAACCACCTCTAATCGACTGGCTTACTTCATATCTGAAAAATCGACATTTTAAGGTTAGGGTTAATTTCACTTTATCTCAGGCTATGGAATGTCCTAGTGGGGTCCCCCAGGGCTCAGTACTAGGGCCTCTTCTCTTCTTGATCTACATAAATGATCTTCCTCAACAGGTAACGTCAGACTTATTACTTTTGCCGACGACGTTAAACTTTGGAGAGAGATACGCAACCAAGACGATACACAGGTACTTCAGGAGGATCTGACGCGACTTCAAAGTTGGGCAGACGATAACGGACTTACCTTTAACACTTCAAAGTGTAAAGTAGTCCATCTGCGACATGTCGCAAACTACAGTTACAACTTAGGAAACTACTCTCTAGTAGTATCCCAAGTCGAAAAAGATTTATGAGTTCTGGTGCCCCATGACTTAAAGTCTTACGCTAACTGTGACAAAAATGCCTTCCGAGCAAACCTTGCACTGGTAACGTTGAGGCGCATTTTTGCCCAGTTTGACGGAAGAACTTTCCACACAATCTTCAATAGTTTCATCCGTCCCCATTTAGAGTACGGAAACATAGTACTCCCCCCTCACTCCAAAAGGACAAAGTCACTTTGGAGCGTATCCAACGGCGAGCCACGAAATCAGTTCGAGGACTCAAATCTAAGCCTTACGAAGAACGCCTCCGTTCACTAGACCTTTACCCACTAGAATATAGGCGTCTTAGAGGTGATTTATTAATGGCTTATAGTATTCTTAACACTTCTGGACATCCTCTTAAACACCTACTTAAGCTTAGTTCGAATAATAACCTAAGGGGTAACACCCAGAAACTGGAAACACAACATAGCAAGACGGAATGTAGACACAACTTCTACTCCTTAAGAGTTGTCAAAAGCTGGAATTCACTGCCGGCCGAGTTAGTCCAAGCGACTTCTCAAGAGTCCTTCAAGAGGCAACTTGACCTATTCTTAAGAACCAAGGACAGCATAACACTATGATTTACCAATTTCTTTTCCTCTTTTATTGTTAACATACCTAGGTTCCTGCCTGGAGGATTTTGTGATCCCCTGCTACTGGACACGGAAGCCTGTTAAGCGAAAGCTTCTTCTATTCCGTCCACAACCATTTGAACCATTTGTATAATTCACTTATCGGCTTAACGAAACTCTTTGCTTGATCACAAGTGGGAAAAGATACCAAGCAGTCATCAATATAGAAATTATTCTTAACAGCATCTACGACATAACCATCATAACCGTCAGAGAATATTTGGGCCGTCTTATTGAAGGCAATGTTCGCGCAAAACGGCGATGATGTGGCACCAAATGGATGAGATGTCATTCGAAACTCAGATGGTTCCCTCGCAATGTCTTCCTCTTGCCACCACAGAAATCTTAAAGCTCCTCGATCAGACTCAAGGACCTTCACTTGCATGAACATTTCTTCAACATCCGCAGAGATTGCGACTTCTTCCTTGCGAAAGCGCAATAATATACACACTAACTCCGCAGTTGTGTCGGGTCCTTGATAAATCATATCATTTAGAGAAACGCCTGCAAACTTGGCGGCACAGTCAAAGACCACGCTTAGTTTTTCTGGCTTTTTCGGGTTTAAAACTGCATGGTGAGGTAAGTACCAACGGGGGCGATAACTAGGTTGCAGGGATCTTCTCCGCATAGCCCTTAATAAAACTACTTTCAATACCTTTTGTATACTTGATATACAGAATGTCATCTTTCAACAATCTACGCTTCAAACTCTGTAGTTTACTGTTTGCCACTTCATAATTCCCTCCTTTCATATTTGGGTTCACTTTCCATGGTATAGGGACTACAAAATGACCATTTTCGAAGCGTGTGCCACCTTCCACAATCCTTATAGCCGCCTTATCTTCTAGTGATACTGATTTATCATTTGAATAAACATCAGAAAACTCTACATCATAAAGTTTACGTATTTCGTTCTCCAAAGTCTGTATCTTACTGGTATGATTGACAACTCTTTTCCTATATTCCGGATATGACGCAGGTCCGAAGACCGTCCACCCCAGCAACGTCTTCACAGCGTACGGGCTTTTTCTTCCGCCCAACCGCTGGTCTAACGCCCAGTGTGCTTCTGGTACGTCGCAACTAATCAACAGCAGAACTTCTTCAGAGTCTAGGTTACCTATTGGTACGTCCCTTAAATGTGGCCATTTAACTAGGTTGTTCACTGCCGACCTTGTTGGTATATGACCTGGTATACCTGCCTGTTATAACTGTGAAAATAATGCTGATTAAGGGTAGCGAATTATTGATCGGACCAAAGACGCGCAAACACGTAGAACGACCTAGGGTTCTGATTGGCCTCGCCTCCCTGTCTAGCCCAGTCAATTGAGTCCAGAACGCAAGTCACAGCCTCGGATATATGAATCATTATATTTCAAACATGCTTTGTTTATATACCATTCAAGCAGTCCACAACGTACCATAAAATAGAAGATAACATTGTACAATAATGGCCAACAGGAAGATAACACGTCAAATAAATATTGACCAATAAGATGATACCATTTCATGTCCAAGGATAGCATTAGGCTTAACAGGATAATTTTTGGGATATTTTCCTGAATATCCCAACACCTCCCTTTTTTTGGAGATCCGGAGTTGATGTCCGAATTTTAAATTTTTCTCGCGTCTATCCTCCCCCTCGAAATAATGTTGGGTCCTCATATACCCAAGGAACAGTTAGTGTGACTCTATTTGAAGCATATTTCCCGCGTTGAGTAGAGAGTCCACTAGGACTGACTAGATGGTGAGGATCAGCGACAGTAGATCTGAGGTCATTAGGGTTTAAATCTTTAGTAAGTAGTGGATCATTATGATAATCGGCGTCCAACAAAACTGTACCAGGTTCTTGGTTATTATTTGATGCGTGAAACACATTTTCTGGCAAAACAATGAGATCTTCTCGTGAGCTGGATATGTTACTGTCTGCACATGCTGTTTCGGTGTTGACGGAGTTTGACTCCATTACCGGGCATGTTTCTGGAATAGAAAGTACTGGACCACTGGGCGCATGATGGATGACTGTTTCGTTTGAAGTACAGTTCACCGAGGATTCATGGAGGCTGCTGTCATTTTCCAGCTCACTGTGTATTTCAGATATCAATCCATCCACTTCCGTCGCGTCTTCATAGCATGAGTGATTTAGCAGCTGCGTGCGGAATTTGACTAATAACTCCAAATGTCGTTCAAAGAGCAGCTGTAATCGATCGGAGGGGAGAGTCATTTTTTCGAATCAGCACCTGTGATGAAAATTACTGTATGACTAATGACCAATGTGGTTCAAGGACACTGGATACTGATTGGTTGAATAATTAGACTGGATTTCGTCCAATTACAGAATGACTTTGGATTGTGTCTTTTCTTCACCCCGTCGCCAATTGTTATAACTGTGAAAATAATGCTGATTAAGGGTAGCGAATTATTGATCGGACCAAAGACGCGCAAACACGTAGAACGACCTAGGGTTCTGATTGGCCTCGCCTCCCTGTCTAGCCCAGTCAATTGAGTCCAGAACGCAAGTCACAGCCTCGGATATATGAATCATTATATTTCAAACATGCTTTGTTTATATACCATTCAAGCAGTCCACAACGTACCATAAAATAGAAGATAACATTGTACAATAATGGCCAACAGGAAGATAACACGTCAAATAAATATTGACCAATAAGATGATACCATTTCATGTCCAAGGATAGCATTAGGCTTAACAGGATAATTTTTGGGATATTTTCCTGAATATCCCAACACTGCCACAATCAGAGCTCCTTCGATCGTAACATGTTCAGACCGATCTAGAGAATATACCTCAAAAGGAGTCTTTGTGACCGTCATTGTCCTATTACCACCCACAGTCTCTACTACCACTGACACTCGGTCTTCCTTCAGCCCGAAATACCTCAAACAGCTCGATTTTATCAACGTTACATCAGACCCGTTATCCAACAAAGCATAACCCACCATTTCGGCATTTCCCAACATCAACCGTACGGGAATCATTCCTAAGCACACTTGGCTACTTAGGGATTTAGTAAATCCACAACAATTCGGGATGCCAGGTTTATCATTTTCGCTGTGCAGCAATGAATGGTGTTTCTTCTCACAACCATTAACGTTATAACGTTTTGCCAGCTTACATTCATTGACTTTATGTCCTTGCCTAAGGCAGACAAAACAGATGCCATTAACTTTTGCGTGAGACCATCTCTCTTGAACGGTAAGCGCTAAAAATTTTGGACATTTATAAATAGCATGGTCCTGGGAACACACCCTGCATTTAGCTCTCTCTCTCGAATTATTCTCCTGCTCCAGTTGCAAGTGACAATTTGTCTTTAAGTTGTGTCCGTTTCTCGGACGATTCACTAACCGTCCAAATCTACTATTAGCTACTCTCGCGCGGGATGCTATAAATTGGGTAAGCTTGTCAAAAGTCGGTTCTCTATTATCTTCCGTCAATTCATCTACCCAGTCCGCCCACTGGGCTTGCATAACTTGAGGTAAGAGTCTTACTATTCTCTCTAAAGTAATTAGAGAATTTAAGTCGGCCGTATACTTCATCTGATTCAAAACCATTGAACAATTTTCCATCCTTATAGCTAGATTTGTCAGTTGCTCAGGATCACTGTAATCAACATTTGTAGTTTTGAATAAGTCCTCTAAAGTTTCCCTAGCGATTACATGCGCCTGTGCGAACAACCGTTTTAGAATTTATTTGGCCTTCTTGTAACCAGAAGAGGCTTCCAACATAACACAACCCTCAATGGCTGTTTTCGCTTTACCCTTACAATAATGTATCAAATAAAGCAAGCGTTGACCATCATCCTTGACCCTTGATTCTACATAGGTCTCAAACTCCCCTAAAAACTTCCAATAACCTCTAGGTTGACAGTCGAAATAACTTAACTCAACCTTTGGTAACTCGGGACCTACGAAAGGCGCCATAAGCATCACGCTTTTCGCTTGCTTCACGTCTAAACTAAGGTTTTCTATGCCATCTGCCATTGCATCGCAACTAGATTCACTATAATTACAATCGTCCCTATTAGAATATGAACCATGACACATAGAGGCATCAGAAGGCACTTGCCTTGATTGAGGGGATCCATTCTTTTGTTCATCCCTTTTAACATCCACGAGCCTTGGACTTAATTTCCTTTGACGATTGTTTGGCATCGCAAGCGAACGACCAAATATTCCCAGAGACAATGATTGGGATCAACGAAACGAAAGCCAAACGAATTCGACCAAAATATTTGTTTAGAACTGTAAGATCCAAACTAAGGTTTGGATAGATGAATAGCCGTCCAGGTACGTTAGACACGCGCCCTTTCCCGTCGAAATCAAAACAAGTAATCGGGTAAGTAGTGGTTCTATAATTCATCATAAATTTATATGTAAATCGTTACCTAAACAGATATTACCACCCGGCTATTCAACCAATAATTGTTCAATCAATCAAATCTAAATTACAATAAATAAAGAAGTTGATAAACGATGAGGGAAAGTTACCAGTCACAACAAATGAACGTTATTCTATCCTGACTGGATAGAACACACACAAAAGGAGGAGCAAATCAATATGGCTACCGCCAAGAACAAGTGTCAACTAAAACAACGTAGATACAGTTCAGGGAGAAGCACAAAAACTTAGTGAAGGCGTAATAAAATAAAAACTATGATAAAATACAAATCTTAACAATTCAAATGTAATAAAAAAACTAACAATGTACAACTAAGGAGATCAATAGGAACAAAGTGCAAGTATATGCATGGAGGGATTTTCACAAACACACAAAACACTCAAAATGGATCTTACATCTATAAGATCTTACGTGGAAGTCACACCATCGACTACACCAACTCACTGTATCGTATCAATTACCAGTACATGATGTAGAACAAGGTTAGGCTAGAGAAAGAACAATATATTTAATATGAATAGAAGATATAAGGTAACATTCAGATGGACCATGCCTGCATGGCCGAGCCATGCCACTCGATCAACTCCAGTCCTTTCAATTCATTGAATATCTGTTTTCTGAGTAGCCTTGTGTTCAGCTTTGAGGATTGTGTGGTTATGGTCCAATGCCACTACAGACTCATAAAGCAGTGGGTCAAAGCACAGTTTATGACTTGTAGTTTCCTGAATTCTCTTAGAGATAGGTTTGTTCAGTTTTCATTTTTTCTAGGTGGGCGAGTAGACTGTTTATTCCGGTTATTTGTTGTACTTTACTTACTGTTGGAGACTTTCAATTTAACGAAGTAGCGAAAACTGCTGATTGTTGCTACTTCTAGCACCTGATATCAGCATTTGCGAATGCAACTGATATACAGAATTGGCCTATGTCCTTGCCCTTGTTAGTTTCACAGTTGTTATAACTGAGTGTACTTCTAGTGTTATCATCAGAATAAATAAGAATGGAGACAATTTTTATATTACTTTGTTCATCTCTGAATCCAAGTTACAGTTTCACCTATCTGTTCCGAACATACTTCATGAAAGTGATATTTTCCTTAAAGAATGAAGAAATCATTTCCTGGAAAAATGTTGGTGAGGTTGAAGTATGTACTATTGACAGTTTGAGTGGATAAATCGTCAGTATGATTAATTTTTTATGTTGTAACATTGTAATAACAACAAGCGTGTCTTGAAAACCAACAATCAGTTGCTTACTCAACACTCCGACTTGTAACCCGCCTGATTTATTCGATTTCGCTTACCGCGGGCCTTCGAGGGTATCAGGTTCAGTGAAGCTTAGTTTCCAAGTTAACGAGTTAGGACTATTACTTGCGAGTGATAGTTTCCGTAAGTATAGCTGATTCCGAATTCTTCAGTTGATGACTCAGCAAACTTACCGTGGGAACTTCAGAAGAAAAAATAATTATGGATGTTATATCTTAGTAGAATGGGCGACCAAAATCATTATTAAACTTCACAGATACTTGTCAATGAGAAAGCCCCAATCATCCTATCTCTTCTACTTTCGACTAACATTTTTCACGTATTTCTTTGTAATAGATAATCATTCTCTAAGGTGACATCATTCATTTTCTGTCGCGTTGCTTTTCCTAATGATTCTGAATGTATTCGATATGATTCACGAATAACAGCTTGATGGTTTGCGTGTCCACGAGAAAGAAGCATGTCGAAGCTGGATGACTGAGGTCACAGGATCGGCTTGTTCTCCAGTAAGCCCATTCAACTACTGCATTATTTATCTGCCCACTGTAATCCAGACACTTAATCCACCATGCAAATTTCTGTGTGTGTGTTGTGGATGCGGAGGAATAGACCAATAATTATCATGTTAAGTCCATTGGTGTCCTTGAACTTTAAATGGACATTTCCTATTGGTCGATATCTGTTCACTTGTTGAATATTGTACAAAATGTTTTTTTCTATTTTATGGTACGGTGTGGTATGCTTGATTGGTATATAAACAAAGTATGTTTGAAATATAATGATTCATATCTCCGAGGCTGTGGCTTGTCTTCTGGACTCAACTAACTGGGCTAGACAGGGAAGTGGGACCAGTCGAGACTCTAGGCCGTCCGTTCGTGTTTACGTGTCACTGTAATCGGTCGATAAGTACGCTGCTCTCTAATTTTCCAGTCAAGGACACAACAATTAGCACAGGTTAAAATCGATCGCAACATAAAGCCATAACAGTGTGTATGATTGAGCACGTGTTAATTTTTAAACTATTCTGCCTTTGGTTGTAATACACAGACAATCAATAATTTATCCATACTTGATTAACACTCATAAATATATATGGATTTTTAACACTCACACGCACACACTTGGTTACCCTATGTGCTTGCTTCCTGTACGCTTGCGGAATTTACCTACTTACTTACGCCCGTTACCCCTCGTGAAGGAGCATAGGCCGCTCACCAGCATTCTCCATCCAACCCTGTCTTAGGCAATCCGTTCCAGCTCTTTCTAGTCGTTATTCATCTTTTTCATATCTGCTTCTATTTCCCGACGTAATGTGTTCTTTGGCCTTCCTCTTTTCCGCTTCCCTTCAGGATTCCAAGTTAGGGATCGCCTCGCGATGTAGTTTGACGATTTCCTCAAAGTATGTTCTATCAACTTCCAACGTCTTTTCCTAATTTCCTCTTCAGCTGGAAGCTGGTTTGTTCTCTCCCACAAAAGGCTGTTGCTGATGGTATCCGGCCAATGGATGTTGAGTATCCTGCGTAGACAGCTATTTATAAATACTTGTATCTTCTTGATGGTGGTTGTTGTAGTTCTCCAAGTTTCAGCTCCGTACAGTAGAGCTGTCTTGACGTTCGTACTGAAGATCCTCATTTTGATATTGGTAGAAAGTTGTTTTGAGTTCCATATGTTCTTCAATTGTAGTAATGCGGCCCTTGCTTTGCCCTTACGTCTGCATCTGAACCTCCTTAATCATCGATAATTTTTCCCAGGTATGTGAATGATTCTACATCTTCCAAAGTTTCGACATCAAGAGTGATTGGATTGCTGTTCTCTGCTTTGAATTTGAGGACCTTGGTTTTCCCCTTGTGTATGTTGA